AAACAAACTAAGAACATACATACTTTTCAAACAAGATTTAAAAATTGAAAATTACCTAATTAATATGCAGAACCATGGTCTTAGAAGGTTAATTGCAAATTTCAGGACAAGCAACCATGACCTTAAAATTGAGAAAGGCAGACATAATAATGTGCCGCTGGATAAAAGAACATGTGATATGTGCAGCCAAACTATAATTGAGGATGAGCAACATTTTGTAATGAAATGTCCAGCTTACAGTCACCATAGGGACAAATTATTCCTGACTGCACAAAATAAAGTTCAAAATTTTGATAAAGAAAATAGTCAGAATAAATTCATTTTGATTATGGCAAACCATACTCTAGCACCAGCCTTAGCAGTCTTCCTAAAAAACAGCTATGGAACAAAACAGCAACAACTATCAGTGTATTAGGCCACATTTTGTGTTCATTCTATATTCTGTACTCACCATTGGCTGCAAATTGTCTTTATTGTTTTTGATTTGTTTTATTTTTTAGAAAAGTTTTTATTTTCTGTTTTCTTTTTTAGATTGTAGTTTGTTTTAATTTTTTTCTGTAAGACCCTTTTTATCCTTTCCTAAGGATTTTATGCGTCTAATAAAACAATAAAATAAAAAAATAATTGAGAAAGAATGAACACAGAACAATAAACCTCTATGAAAACTATTGTAACGACCAAATGCATAGCAACCAGCCTAACACGGAAGGTGGGTTGGAAAAACCAGTAATCGGCAACCCCGTCGGCCGGTCCCGTCGGCAACTCAATTGGCGCGAAAGTGTACACATGCTCACTGATAAACATTCGTGAGTAAATTGAATAATTAAACATTTTGATCTTTTCTCAAAATTGCTGAATGAAAGATTGAAGAAGATTACATAAAATCTTCTGAGCCTCGTGAATGGCATGTGGCAAGTGCAGTCAACGAGTAAATTTTCAAAAATGTTTGATTTTTATGTTTGATCAACAGTAACTTAATTTATGAACATTATTAAGGCTTAATTAATTTGGAGGGGAGAGGTCAAGCTGTTCGCAACTCCCCTCCCTCTCAACCAAATTAAATTGCCCTCCCACTGTTTTTTGCTCCCACTGCCCTCTCCTCACTCGGTTTTGCTCCCACTGCCCTCTCCCCACTCGGTTTTGCTTCCACTGCCCTCTCCCCACTCAGTTTTTGTTCCCCGTTGCCTTCTCTTCAATCGGTTTTTCTCCCACTGCTCTTTTCCCACTCAGTTTTTGTTCCCCATAACCCATTTCACCGACAACGCTCTTTATTAAGAGAGTTGTACCCAAGTTCAAATTTTGCACTTCTGAAAAATACAATGTATAATCAGTGATTTTGCCCTTACCCGCTCAATCTAAAAATGGAACTTGCCTGCTCTCTGAATAAAAATCTTCTCCTACTGGAATCCCCTCTGAGAAACCCTATTTTTAATTCCCTCCCACTGAAGATGTTTTATTTTGCCTGCCCGCTAAAAATCCCCTGTGAACACATTTTTTCACGAACAGCTTCGTTGACTGCACCTGATGTGGTTACTTTTCCAATATTTTCTCGAAGCGCCCGCTGTGTGCACGTCTGAATATCGAATCAACATAATCACACGGCTGTTAGTTTGTTTCGTGTGTGTTTTCGTTACCCGGAAGTTTACGTGGATGGGGCACGTTTGTCGTTAATTTACCAGTATCAGCTACCAGTGTTGCAATTAAAATAATCGTACCCTGTTTTGACACTTACGTTACCGCCAGTGGAATCAAGATTAGCATTTGCTGATTTCGAAATCAACAGGTTTGTATTTCCAGGATATTCGGGGCGTTGTATATACGGGGAAAATTTGCAAAATAAGTAGCATGTTTCTTACGCAGAGCCCGAGTCGCAAGTCACTGTTTGGCGGGACATTTTGTCTAACAGCAACAAATTCGTCATTTGTCCAACAATTGACTTGAATTACACCTTGCAGCTATATGTAAGAGGCGATTTAATTTCATGCTGTACATTCAATGTTGACACATAATCGTAACTTCAAGATCAAAACTTTCGAAGGTAGAAATTTGAGACCTCGCATAACATCAGAAAACAGTGACAACGCGAGCAATGGTGGGTAATTTAATCAGATAATACGAAAAGGTTTACTGTTGATGCATGTAACGTATTTTGACTGTTTCTCGTCTTTTTCGTTGTAGTTATTTTGCTATGATAATTTTAATTACATGTACTGAATATGCAAACATTGTCAGTGGCGGTGACCTACGTGAATGCCTGTGTGAATGCATGTACGTACACGTGAATAGATTTGTATGGCGTATTAATTACATTACATAGATATGATAGTTGGTAGGATTTCATCTCAATCAATCAACCCATCCATGGTAATGTTTTGTTGCTCAGTCCTACATTGAATGCAATCAATATTACACGATAACCCACTACTCAGTGAGTATTGTGAATTTTATGAAGGCAGGACTAAAAAAATATATATAATAAATAATATTTATAAAACTTCTATGAGGCATAAATAATTTTACAAGCAAATGGCAAACTATGAACATATGCAATAATTTTAAGTAGGCTATAATTTTGAATTCAACAGCATTGAAAACAACTATATTCAGAATTAGTAACAATTACAATTTGAAATGAAAATGGATAATTTCAATAATAATGACGAACACTTTACAGTAATAAAATAATCATTACTGTATTTTCCGTAACCCTACCTATTTTTTCGGGAAATTTACAAGTTTATTTCATGCAAATATTTCCTGTCATTCCCCCAATGTTGCAATTTATTTTTTATCAAATGACTAGCACCCAGTTGTAATAAGGAAATATATTCTGTAAACTAAGTTCGGTGTCAATAATTAAACCATGAGTATGTTCTCACAAAAACCTACTGAGTACAACTCATAAAATAAAACTCCTTGCCTATACCTACCTAATATTTTTAGGCCATTTCTAAAAAATGTGTTGATTTAGCCTTATTGAAGTCAAGATTACACTTGATTTTAACACGGTGAAATTCACATACTGTATAAGCTTTAACTTTCATTGATGTTTGATTTCACTATTTGATATTTGATCAAATTCACTAGAATTTAATTTTAATGTAATTTTAGAGGGATGCACTCCAATATATTATTCACATCGATGTATTTTAGTGGATTTTACTTATCAGCGAAAGAAACAAAATTAAAGAGCAGTCAATAATTCATGCATTTACAGTATTTCATGCTTTACAAATTTAAACAGAATGATGATACGTTCAATCAGAGGTACATTACTTGGGGTTTGCAACTACGGTGACATGATACCAAGATCCCGTTACAATCTCGCTCTCGCATAAGCGTTCCAACTCAGAAAAATGCGAATGCGTATGCCCGAGGTAACTAGGATACTGGGATATCCAGGTGGATCAAAATATCTGCCCACGATATGACGGATTACGAGAACTATATTTTCTGTACATTTTCGATGTATTACAGTTTTCACTATGATAGTGACAAGAAAAGTTTTATTTTTTCATTACAAACCTTGAACATTGATATATATCATGTCAGAAGGTCGTAGCCTCAGTCTCGCTATCTACGAGATGAGACTTCAATGGGATCTTGACATGATGTCACCATACAGTACTATGCGAGTTGCAAACCCCAAGTAATTTACCTCTGGTTCAATATATACCCGGTATATATCTGATGAAGTGTTTGAAATGTTTTGAATGCATTTGATGTTCTGCATGAATCTGTCATGTTTGAGGGAAATGCGCACAGACTTGTGGGTAATTTATTCCTCTCAATATTTCTGAGTCTGTAAATGGGCTCCGAACTCGTTTACAGGAAATGAAATGTGTGGGTATTATGCATGCATCTTCAATCCCATGAATACTGACTAAATAAATAAATAAAAAAAACTACCACAAGTTCTGGGTTCAAATAACGTCTAAAACGAATAGTGCAGAGGTCAAACAAGCTGCGCCTGTTCGCAGTTCTACTGGGTACACTCACACATTGTGGATAAATTTTATGCTGTTAATTGATATTTTAGCGTACTTGCATCGAATTTTAATCAGATTCGTCTTCCTGTGTGATCATTAAAATATGTACATTGATCTACACAAATTTGTGAGGAAGTTTCATTACTCAAAGAATAGGATCGTTTTATTATATTGTTCTTATTTCAAGAAACTTATTGTATCAAGACAGCAGTCAGTATAATGGTATGCCCATTGAACTGATATTTACAGGCTTTAACATAAGTACAATTACTTACAAAGCCAATAGTATTCACCATATGAATTTCTTGCATAATCAACTAACATAGGCTTTTTTCGCTCTAATGAAACGATGTACTGTTCCCAGAACCTCAGTCCATAGCCAAAGGCTTGTATTGGTTGCTTTGCCATGCCCATTTTCACATGTATATTCAAATCCATATAATCGACAGGGGTGTCATGTGTAGACAATAGTCCAACAGTCACTAGATGCCCCATTGTTTTAATTTGTTTGAATGTTTTCTTCCATATTCAAATTTAGTCACCGCCAGTTAGTCCCAACCGGAAATCTCAACTCATTTTTGGCACACAGTTTCAAAACAAAGTAAAGATGGGAACAGTAGCATTTATGTGTCGTATATGGAAATATGCGTAATCATGACAAACCTTGTACCTAAGAGAAAACGATTCTCCTGTAACTCTGACTGTTTTTACAATTATCTATTGCAATAAACCCATACTGTCTCATTTCCCTTGCAGTCAGTCAGGTGTGACTACATTTGTCAGTATGGATCGCAACAGTTTTGACTTTGAAGATGAAGACGTGCTATATGAACAGCCAGATGGTAAAGAGGATAGAACTGGACTTCTGAATAACCAGACCAAAAAGACACAGTTCACAGATGGTAAAACACCACATCGATGTATCAAGACTGGGTTACTCTGTGCTGGATTCCTTGGTTTGGTGAGTATCGACATAACACGTAGTACTTAGAACCAGGGAGGGTATGCAACTGGAGTGAGATGCAATGATCATAACATTTCTTATGAAAAATTACATTTTCAATGAGTTTTGTTTTGAAATTGGCTATTGAAATTAACACAGTATGCAGGGATTTTTTTTAAACAAGGGAACAGTGGAGCAGTGCCCTTGGCCATTCACCCCCTTACCTTGAGGAGCAGATCCTCTTGCAACAATAAAATTCTGATTGACCAGGGATCACATGTGGCCACAGTCTTCAACTGTGACCTGTCTGATAGTAATTTTGGCCCCAAGGAAGCCATAGAATGCTCCATTTTAAGATATAATCATCAAAAACTCCACACTCAGGTAGGGAGAACCCTATCTCCCCTACTTAGTGGCACCGCTGAATTGCAGTGCTCCCTCTTGCAGTTTTTTTTCTCGAAAAACCTCTGGTATAGTCAGTGATTAGAGGAGCTATCCTACTAAAATCTCTATATTACCAAGCAACATTTTTGGAGGAGATTTATTTTACTGTTCCTGATATGCAGCTGTTGTAAATACTGAAGTAGCCGGTGCTCAGCTATAGTCAGCTGACTATGTGTTCACATTAAGAGCTGCTGCTTGTCAAGGAGGTCATCAATCATCTTTTTAAAAACATTTTTGTGAAAACTGTTAAAGAGCAGCTCTGCAATCCTCCATGATTGAACCAATGCATCATGGGACATATAATTTGAATAACCCGCTCATCGTTTACTATGCATATAAATGTTATATGTAATCATATCTCACAAACACTGTTGTCTGCCTTCAAAGGACATTAACAGTTTAAATTAACACTTTGATTTGAATAAACCCAATGATTGGAAATGATTTTAAAGTGCCTATGAAACTCTTGTATTCCTGATGTCCCAAATCACTTATTGGTATATGATTATTATCATACTTTATATGTCTTAGCACAAAATAGATATTTTAATAAAAAAAATGAGTTTTAAAATTGCTGTCTACTACCAGTCATTTATTGGATTTCACAGCAATAAGGCTTCTCATTAGTCCTCATTTGCATATAAGTACTCCACTTGTGATGTCACCAGGGGACATTGCTGTACAGCATAGGCACTTTAAAGTGCCTGTGCAATGCCCACCCTCACGTTTCCCATTTTAGATCTGTGTCCCACTGAAATGGGTAGTTATTGATATATTTGCTGAAAATGATTACTCGTATCCAAGTAAATTTGGGATATTTCTCGTGTTGTAACCACGCCCACCTATCGTGAAATGGTCTACTGTTTCCGGATTTCCGACTCTCGCTGAAGGTGCGCCACCAAATGACAAAATGTGAGAGGAAGTCATACCCCTGAGCCGTAATAACACTGGTCATTCAGTATATGTACTTTTAAACGATATACTTGTACATACATTTTTTGAAAAACTGTCCTCGTCCATGAAAAAAAGCGACTAGGTTTAAAGAGAAACGCCGACAACGTAAACCTGGCGCAACACTTTTGAAAGAAATAGATTCCGAACGAGCCCATGATCACCGAGGCGGATTTCAGAAGAGATAGGGAAGTGTTTCAAATGAGTTGACTTTTTCTGCGATCCTGATTATCGTTTTATAGAGACCATTTAGTTCCTGTTAAGTAAAAGGTAGCAATAATTTTGACAGTGACACGAAATCGAAGCGTCGGGCAAACAGGAAATTACACAGCCTTACACACTGCTGATTGTTTTCATTTTCGAAGGCTAAAAGTTTCTGAATTGTTTGGTGATTGGTGTTGAATGTCGAATTCACACCTCTGTTCTTTTTTTACCTCCATGCTTGCAGCTTGTCTGGGTAATAATTTATGAAATAAGAATCCAGGCTTGGTCAATGTGTTTCCACCAAATAAAGTTTTAATACGATGTTATAATTAAGACAATCACGCCATGGATCACGCTAACTCCAATCCACTCTGAATTTATCTGTATGTGTGTCGATCTGGATTATTTTTGTTATCCAATTAAACGGTGCTTCTAATGCACTTGCCCTCGTGACCTGACTCGTTCACCTATTTCAACAAAATGTCAATTTATTTCTACGCGGCTGTCATATATTTAGTAACTGTGATTGGTCGTTTTTTTAATTATTTTATAGTGATCACTATAGTCTAATGTTTAGAATGTCAAAATATGTTCTCTTTTATTTTAATTTTGAAAGTTTTAATAAAACAGTGTAGTGACGTGTCTAGTAACCTGCTAAATAACGAGATAATTCCAACGTCAAATTCTATTTTGTCCAGTGACAGTGTACAAACGTGCGCCGGTGTCGGTGATGATCACGGTGACCAGCTACACCAGAACCGACATATTTCGCATCTAACTCAACCCTATGCAACAAAAATTGATACTATGTGTTAATTATGGTCCATTCTTCCTCGACGAACAAGTACATAAGTTTAAATTTAGTCAAAGACGAGAAAACTGCACAAGAAATATGCCTTATTTACACGTATCGGCAATGCAAGCTGCCATGCGACTTCCCCTTCTGACGTCACAAGGGGAATTTCTGTTTGCAAATGAGAAGCTAATGAGGAGCCTCGTTTTAAAATACACAAAAATAAAGTTGCCATAGACTGAGTTTAAAACACATTTTTTCACTTAAAAAAATAATTCATGCTTAGAAACATAAAAATTAATAATATTTATGCATCAATGGATAATTTTAGGCGTGAAAATAGCAGCCATTTCACAGACACTTTAAGGCAGTTCTGGAGAACACTTCACATCCCAATTTATTGTCTACAATTTTTTTTACTAATTTTCATTTTTAGCTCCGCTGTCGACTTTGTCGAGCGGAGCTTATCATATGAGTGATTGTCCGTCGTCCGTGTCAATGTTTTACTTTTTCCACTTCTTCTTGAAAACTACAAGCCTGAATGCTTTGATACTTGGTGTATATGTACCTTGGGTAGACCTCGCTCAGATTTGTTCATTTCGTGATCATATCTTCAATTCTCTAATTTTGGTGAATATTTTTGTCATTTTTGGTAAAAAGTGATATTTTCAACTTCTTGTTAAAAACCACAAGTCCAATTGCTTTGATATTACATATATAGGTACTACATGTGGACCTCTCTCAGATTTGTTCATTTCATGATGATATCTTCAATTCTCTAATTTTGATGAACATTTTTGTAAAAATTGATATTTTCAACTTCTTGTTAAAAATCACAATCATTTATGGTGAAAAATGATATTTTTGAATTCTTGTTGAAAACAGCAAGTCCCATTGCATTGATACTATGCATATTGTTCATTTTCTAATGATATCTTCTGTTCTTTAATTGAAATGTGTATTGCTAACAGCGGAGCTATCTCAGCCGAGAGGCTGCTTGTTTCATAATCTTGGATGACTGATATTACATTGTGTTATTAGTACAGTAACAACTCATTTACGAGAGTTCAAACCCATATATATATTAATTTCATGACCTGTCATCGTGACTTACTATGGTATATTTTGAGTTTTCTCTCTATTTGAAGACTATAAATTAACGTGGAAATCATTTATGGCAAGCATGTTGTACAATTAAATATTTGATTCATATTCCACAGTACAACTTGTCTGGTTAAAATCACTTGGTGATCACAGGTATCTTTATGCAGGTAACACGTACAATGCATTGAACTATTAATGATCCACCAAAACTTAATTCAATTTACCCACAACATAAACGCAAATACAGATATGTAGTAAGAATAATAATTATTATTTGCTTTGAGGCTAAAGGTGGGACCTCAGGTCATTGGAACCTTATTTTTTAATGCATTCAATGACTTGATACATGGAAGCATGTTTTTTATTTGTCAGCTGCTTGACCCTGTATCATACTTGATGCATAAGATGGTAAACACATTCACTGTAGACGGAAATTCAGGGAGATTCATTTGAAATTTTACTGGACTTCAGTTTTAAATTTCAACCGCCAACGCCACTCACTAAGTGGCGATCATATGTTAGTGATCACATATTGGAATACTGACTGTGCATAAATACACAGTATAGTGCCAGCAGAAGACCAATATTTTGTCTCCAATAACATGACAGACATTCTATTAATTCCTAGACAACAAAATCATGGTTTTAATTAGCATACTAGTAATTCACATGCTTGTAAAGGCATTAGTTTTACAACTACAAGTTTTTATGGTATTCAGTACATGGCACTTGCATGGCTTCCTTCTTTGTCTGATGTTTGAGGAAACCTGGCAACTGTCGTCTTTGACATTAAAAGGGGCATGGCTAGAATTCAGGAGCTTTTTTTCAATTTTACTCTGAGATGATTTTATTATTTAATTTTTTTTTTTTTTTTTACAAATGTGAGCATTTCACAGGCACTTTAAATAATTGTTTAGGCAAGAATTAAACTTAAATCATATCCAACTACCGGTAGTAAACTTACATCGAAATTGTATTCTATAAATAATCATGATTGTATACTACAAAAAAATAAAGCACTCCGCTTTCTGATATATCACTATGCAGTGTGATTTTTTTTTTTTTTATACACCTGCAGCTTTGTTTTAAGGAGACTCCATTTTGAAAATATTGGATTAAAATTAAGAGTATGCTGAATCAAAAATGTTATTAATATTTTAGATCATTACAGAAAAACTGTCTTTTTATTTGGGTTAGAAAAAGCAAATCTGAATAAAAATATCTGAAACACTAAAAAATAAGCACATGAAAAATGAGTATTGACTTACCAGTATTGTATATCCATGGCAACAGCAAAGCTTTATTGAAAAACTTGATGGGTGGTGACCTTTTGGTGATTCAACATTTCCAGGGCACTGTAGCACACTTCAAAGACAATATATGCTGAATTTATATATATAGTACTATAAAATGACATTAAGTGATTTTTACACTTATTTGTAGCTGGCAGTGTGGTTGATTTTCAATACAAACAAATTAAGCTGTGATCGCTGCATATTAGAATTCATAATACTAAACACTT